TACAGCAAACACAATTAACTTCTCATTAACCTTCTTCTCAAACTTCTTAGAACTTATTATGTGATGTCTATTTTCTTTTATCTTTTCTTTTTTCTATTCATTGTTGTTGGCTTTAGTGGAACTCTAATAAGTTTATCGATTTAGCTTGAAAAGTGAATGAATAAAAATTTAATTAATTAAATATGATAACATCTAAATTATATAATTAAGGTTCACCTAAAATTACATATTTTATGTGCATGAGAATCATATTACACTAAATTTTATTACGGAAGTTTACAAATTTTATAGGAAAAAGATATTTTTTCTTGATTGCTATTGAGGTGTTGTTAACACAAGATATACTATAGGTTTAGGGTGAGAAACAAATTTTAAACCTAAATGGTTTAAACTACTAAAAGATATTGCACTAATGTAATTTCCACTAGCTATGATGACCTTGCAATTTTTATCTCTATATTTAATGTAATTTTAATTAATATTTATTCTTAATTAAGTATAGATTATAAATATTTAAAAAAAATTCTTTAATATAATTAAAATTTTATAATTATAATAATTTTTTTTTGCAAAATATTTTTGTCAGCTTGCGCGCATCACGACTAATCTCACGACCTATTAAATACCCTGCAAACCCAGTGAGCATGTAAGGCACCGTGGAGATAACAAACGTGCACATAAAGACTCGAACTTAGAAGCAGTGAAAGGAGACAAGCTCCATTCACCACTAGACCAAAACCCTCAGTGCAAAATGTTGTTTCTTATTAATTTTACTGGAGGTTGTGACTTGGGCTCAATATGAATTGTATAAAGAAAAATTATTTTTAATATTAACATATTAAAATGATTTAAAAATATCTAAAAAATATTAATTTAAAATAAATAAATAAATAAAAAGATTCAAATATTTTCAAAAATATTTTTAAAACTCAAACCTCGTAAATACTTTCTTTTTTTTGCTTTAATTGAGTTGCACGCTCCGTAGTTGTTCCACTCTATGAGCCTTCCCTTTCTTCTTGATTCTTCGGCTTGGTGTATAATACCTTTCAATTTCATTAGTAATATCATATTGATTTAAGCAGAATGCAATGATTTGAAACATATCTAAATGGTTTCCAAGTCCTCTCTCCTTAAAGCTGATTCAATTGTCTCAGATACTCCCAGGTTGCTAACATGGATCATGAATGATCTAGGTGTTGTAAGAAGAGCTCAGTATGAGCCAAGGCTATGTGGAAAAAATGTAGAATTTGTATTAACACAGTAGCCTCATTGTGTTGTTGCATTATAGCTGCAGTGTGTGCTATGTTCTGTTTAATTTATTTTGGCGTCATTACTTCTCAGACAACCATCGCAGTCACTCGATGCAATGAAAACAAAGTTAAAACTCCGGTGGGATGCTTACGTTTATGAACATAACCAAGAATGTAGTACTTGAACTGGTTACGAAGCATGATTTTCTCAGTTTGGAAAGAGAAAAAAGGAAGTGCGTCTCTGTGGGACAGTTTGCAGAAGGCCCGATGATGGAAATCTCAGCATGTTGATATTAGGAGTTCGTAGATTCTCCGCTGCCTTGCTGAAGAAACGCAGCTCTGCTGTGCCAGTTGTTGAGACCGAAAAGATAAATGGATCAGAAACTCAAGACATCGAATAAAAAAAAAGAAGAGAAGAAAACTCAAATGATAGAAGCCATAATGTTATTTTTACTCGAAATGCTATTCTGTCTAACAACATTTTCAAATTAATTTGTGCCATCAGCAATATATTTTCAGCATTATCATTTCTACCCAAACATATAAAACAATTTTTTTTAAATAACTGATGCAATAATTTAATAATTTTTAAGATATCTGACACATTCATAATTTTTAAAAATTATTTTTTAAAATAATATACTAAAAATTTAATTGAAGTCCTTCTATTCTAATCTTTCCATTCATCATCTATTAATATGCAACCAACCTTCTTTCAAATCTTTTAATAATTCTCAACATAAATCTTCACTTCATCAACTAGTCTTAAAATAACATGGTCTTTTTTATCAAGTAATAACCATAAATAACATGTAATTTGGTATTTTATAACTAGGATCCATTATTGTTATAGAATCTATAACACAACAATAATATACAGAGTTAACAATATTAAATGGTATCAAGTAATAACCATAAATAACATGTAAGTTTGGTATTTTATAACTAGGATCCATTGTTGTTATAGAATCTATAGCACAACAATAATATACGGAGTTAACAATATTAAATGACACACATGCATCAATCATCTACTTCACTAAAACAAGATTACACCGTTCAATTGCCTTTTTTCTTTGCCAACAATTCTAAAGAGACTTTTGAGCAAGAGGAGTTGTTTTTTATATGAAATATACCTTTAATGTTGCATATTTGTTCTATTTTTCTTAACTTGTAGTCGATTGTTTTAAAGTATTGGTGCTTTGAATTTTTTTTTTTTTTGTAATCTTTGGTGGTAACATATGTTTTTTAGCATTGACATCCTCATCATCATCACCATCATCATCTTTTCATGCTTTCTTTGTTGTGCATTAAATAGATTGAAATTGCTTGTATTTCTTTTTTTTTTTTGAACATTTTCTTTAAAATTATAAAGCATTTGATGTTGAACATCAAGAAGACATTTGCGACATTGTTCAACTTCTCCTTTAGCTCCAACTAAATATTTTTTAAATCAATTAATGCCACTACTCGTAAATACTTTAACACAATATAAATATAACATACTAATTTAGTTCTTTTACATTTAACACTAAGTTCAGGAGCTTCTTTATAATGACCCCATACCAAATTTGTCCTTCCTCTACTACCACTTGACATGGAAATTGAAGATTGAGATAATTAGGTCGTTGAAGAATCACTACTTGAAGTACTACTATTATGTAAAAAATTTTAAGGACCTATATTAAATGAGAAAAAAATGCTCATAATATGAAAAATAAAGTTATAGAACAAGAGACACTATGGGAAGAAATAAAAAACAAAAAAATCTATTCAATTAACAAAATTAGCAGAATATAAATATGAAAAACAAACAAAAGAAATACAAACACAAAAATTCCTCATGCAACATTCTAATACATGACTGAAAATTATAGATAGGATGGAAAACGAAAAACGCTTCTTTGGAATTGTTTTTCAGACTTCAATTTTGGTTTCTTATTTTGCACACAACTTAACACTGACATAATTTATAAAAAGAAATATAATTTCAAGTCAAATCATATACTTTTATTATATATTCAGATTGAGCAACAAAACACTTTGCAATCCATATATTAGATTAATAATGACTACCAAGCAATTATAAGCAACTAGATATAAGGTGTTACTAGTAAAAAAAATTATTTTCTTAGATTAATCATTACAATGATAACAAAAAAATAAAGAAATCCTGATAAATGGGACATCAATTTGTTATTATTAAGGCATTTTCTAAGCATATCAGACAAGCTATAGTGGAAAATCCACTTTACTTACATAATTTATCAAATCATAACACTACTTTCAAGATTTTATATTCTTTGTATATTTTTGCTATATAAGCTATTTGCATTGTGTTTTTATATTAACTTATTGGATATTAGTGCCTTGATTCTTGTCTTAAAAAAAAATCTTATGTTTTAAATTCTTGATAATATTCAATCCAACCTCAATTCTAACACCTTCAAGGAAAAGAAAAAAGAAAAAGCAAGCCTAATAATTAGAAATAACCTACATAATATAGTTATTGACAAAGGTAAATTGAAATTGTCTCTAATTATCAATTAACTAATTTCATATAGGAGTTGTTAAAATAAAAAATAAAGAATAAAAAATAAAAAAAACACAAAAAATTATCGGGATTGTTAAAATAAAAAATAAAAAATAAAAAAAATACAAAAAACTATCAGGATTGCAGAATAATAAGGTTTGCACTATTAAATTAGTCAAGTAAATCCTCTTCTTTGTCAAGCATATCAAACGAATACAAAGAAGAAAAATAAGATAGTTAACTAATATGTAGCTTATGAAGAAATAATTGAAATAAATCAAGAAAAATGAGGTAAAGGTTTTATTAAGTTGCAAAAAAGATAAGATAAGAAAAACATACATAGAAGTGTGAGAATAAAAAAGAATAGATACCAAATCAAGAATTACAAGTTAAAAAAAAGACAAAAAAATAAAGAAAAGAGAGAGTAAAAGAAGGAGAGTCATTAAAAAAAACAATTAACATCATTTTCTTCATGATTAAAATGATTTTTTTTTAATTAGGTTTTCTCTATAGCTTCATCGTTAAGGCTTTTTAATCATAAAAGAAGAAAAAGATATCATTTTACATATATGTATATATATAAAAAATAAAGATTAGGTCTCAACTGAGTTTATCCGGGTCAACCTGTCGGGCTGGTCCTGATTTCAAAACTATATATTTTACTACACAAACATTTATAACTTATAAAATCTTTCTTTTTTTTAAAGAAATGTACCTATAATTTTAGTTGGACATACCTTCAATATAAATCAAGTATTTAATTAAGAGAATGTTAAATATTGTTATAATGGTTGTATTAAGAGAATGTTAAATATTGTTATAATGATTGTTTTTTAAATTTTTTTTTAAAATATATTAAAATAATATGTTTTTTAATTTATTGTTTATATTAATATATTAAAATGATATAAAAAATTAAAAAATTAATTTTTTAAAAAAGAAAATTTTAATTTTTTTAATAAACAAGAGACAATCTAAAATATCTTGTCCTCCTCATCACGGGCCGGTTGAGCATTAAAAAAGAATGAAAGAGTAAACCGGAAGTAACCCGCCCTGACCCAAATCTCCCACCTCGCAAACCAAGCCAAAACTCAAGTAAATAAGATAACAAAACGGTTCCGTCCAGGTTCGTTGTAACTACCCAGTCAAACCAACCACCCCCCCCCCCCCCCCCCCCCCCCCCAAAAAAAAAAAAAAACAATTATTTCTTCCTTATAAAACTCGGACGATACTTCCATTTTCAGTCTCAAAATCCAAATTTCTTTTCCCTCTCTTCACCTGTTTTTCTCTCTCTTTACTACAAAAATGGTGACGGTAGAGGAATCGGTGGTTAACACTAAACTTTCACCACCAAATTCTTATTCTGCGGTGGTTCTTGGTGGCACTTTTGACCGGTTACACGACGGCCACCGCCTCTTCCTCAAGGTGACATTCTTGGCTCTTTCTTTTTCTCTCTCTCTCTCTCTCAATAGACAGAGAGTCGTGCACCAGTGACCGGATTTTGTTTGAATTTTTGAACGAAATGATTTATTTATTTATTTATTTTTATTTTTGTTTAGGCCGCAGCAGAATTGGCGAAGGATCGTATTGTGATTGGAGTCTGTGATGGTCCTATGTTGAAGAATAAGCAGGTCATTATTTCCCATTTATTTATTTATTGATATTTTTTTTAGTTGTATATTGTTAGTTGAGTAATGCTATTCATCCTAAAATATGAGTATTTATTTTTATGAATAATATCAAATGGTTGATATGAATCCGCAAATGAATTAAAATTGCTGTTATTGACTCTTTTTTTATTTAATCAATAATTTTTCAAAGAAATGTGGTTAACTTTTTTACCTCATTTACATTCGTGTGGGGTCGAAGCTAGATAGGTACCAGTGAAATGGTACAAATAGCTTCCTTTTTTTTTAAAAAAAAATTTCTTGCTTATTCTCTTGTAATTAATGATATATGATTAAGACTTTGTTTTATCAGAAGTGTGATGCTGATTACCTTGCCTTTTGGGTTCTTAGAACATGTAATGGAACCATTTAAATTACTAGTATTTTTTATTTCTTCGTTTGTGCAATGATTAGGTATTTGGTTCTGCCTTTTGCAGTTTGCTGAATTAATACAACCCATTGAGGAAAGGATGCACAATGTTGAAAACTATATCAAGGTATTTGATTTGAAATTTGAAAAGAATGTTTCGTGTTCTTTTTGTTCTTTTCAGTATCTGGAAAGAAGGGTTGAGAGTTTTTAGACAAGACTGGTTTATTAGGTTGGAACAGCTGCATAGACAAGTTAAACTGTTGTGGCTGAGAAAGTGAGCTGGATGGAATTCTTGCATATCTTACATTCTGATTATCCCATTGTTCACAAAGTAAGAAGTAGGATGTGTAATTTAACCTAGGAGAAAAAATACTGTGTCGTGCTTCTACTGGTTGAAGCCTTTTGAACTGAAGTTTGAATTTCCATCGTCAGTTTAAGTGGTGAGGTAGCAAAGCTATGGACCGTGAGCACTGTAATTTAAAATCAATGCATTGCCAAATGGTGAGCATGGTTTCTTTTGGAATGATTTTTTTCCTTTTCTGTTTAAAAATGATTGCTCCTATATTTTATTTTTTTTGCAGTCTTTTAAGCCGGAACTTCTTGTGCAAGCTGAAACTATTACAGATCCCTACGGGCCTTCAATCGTGGATGAAAATTTGGGGGCTATTGTTGTTAGGTGAGTTGCTATTCATTTTGTCTAGGATTTTTTCTCGGACCTTCTTCTAGGTTTTGATGTGAAATTTTACCATTTTATTTAAAATCGTTGTGTTATTCTAGCTTTATATGTATAGCTTCAGGTGTCTGCATTCTTTTGAGCTTTTTATGCGTGCATTTTTGTTGTGCTGGAGTTTATCTTCATCCTTGCCTGCTTCATTGTTGTAGAAATTACTGTAAATCTTGTCTTAGCTGCTTGAGTTTGTTGCCATTATTCTCATTTTCTTCGTATTATTCATTGAACTTGGTTATAGCAACGAGAGGAACAAAATAAGAAAAGGCCAATTTACCTTCTAGGGTTGTAAATTGCAATGTCCTCTTTACTTCCCTAAAGGGTGTGATGGGATTATTCTTGACCAACTGTTGCTTTTGCGGCAGCAAGGAGACAGTGGCAGGTGGGTTGTCCGTTAATAGGAAGAGAGCTGACAGAGGCCTCTCACAACTAAAGGTTTGTGTTACCAATTTTGTTTTTTCTTTCTTTTAAATCTGTGATGATGTAGTGTCATGTTGTTTACGTAAGGTAGGCTTTTATAATTGCTTAAAAGGTCAGGTGACCAGGCCTTTATATCATGAATCTTGTGCAGATTGAAGTTGTAGACTTGGTTCCTGAAGAATCTGGTGGAGATAATAAGCTCAGTTCTACGACATTAAGGAGGCTTGAGTCCGAGAAGGCCAAAGAACAACAAACACCAACAGAGTCATAGTTACTGATCATGCACGATGTCCTGAAATCGCTGGCTTTTATCAATACCTGACTTCTGCAAGGTTCAGGAAACAAAGAATTTCGTTGAAGACTGTTTGGAAAATACATGATACAAGATAGAGAGAATGTCTTTGTATAATTTATGATTTGAACTACAAGTTTCTCTTCCTGAAATGTTAATAAATTGATGTTTTGACGTGGATCCGAAAACAATCTGTGTTTATAGGACTTAGAATCGTTTCGCTCTTGCAATATGTAGCAAGATATCTACGTGAGCGTGTTCTCACAGATTTAAATTGTGTTCTTACAGATTAATTGTTTTTAAAATATTTTATATTTAGAAATGTATTAAAATAATATTTTTTATTTTTTAAAAATTATTTTAATATAATTACATCAAAACTGCAGCAGCTTCAGTAACCTTGAAAGTAGTGCAGGCAGTTTTTTTATTTCTATTTAAACTTAGTATCGCATTTCTGATGTCTGGATTGTGTATCATGCGGAGGCTCCTTTTATCATGATCAAAATCGCTTGAAAAAAGCATTGCATCTCTAGTGGGAAGATAATTGATGAGAATGGTGACATTTCACGACGACAAGGTAGAGTCGTTTTGATTTTTCAACTGCCGTTTCAATGCCTCTAAAAAGGAATTGCACCATGCCTCTAAAAAGGAATTGCACCGCAACAGAAATATTAACGGCTACTATTTCCCTATAACTAAATTTTGAAAATTCTCAAATGATAAAAACTTGGGACTAAGAGGTTTCCTTCCTTTATGATCTCAAGTTCGAGTTTTTAGTTGCTCATATGATCGTTATTAAAGGTTTATATGGTCATTAACTTAAAAGTTCGTGGAATTAATCGTGGTACGTGCAAGCTAGTCTGAACACCCACATTAATAAAAAAAAAAAAATTGAAAATTCTCAAGACTGTATAAAGAGAGTTACCATAACTGAAAGATCACAATCCCTCTCTTCTCTATCTCCCTCATCATCTTTTTTTTTTAAAAAAAAAAACATTTAAAGTGTTCCTTGATCTTCTCCATACAACTCCCCCCCAAAAAAAAAAACTTATTTGTCTCTTGCTTTCAATATATAAAACCGAAGGAGAAAGACAGACAGAGAGAGGATTTACTGGTCTCTTTAGCAGAGAGCGGAGCCATTGATTTCTCCAAGGTTTTAAACAAACCGGCTTCTGTTTTCTTCCTGTCCTCTTTGATTTTAATGCTTTTTTTGCCTTTAAGTACAGCTCTCAGAGTTTTTTTTTTAAAAAAAAAAGTTTCTTTGATGGTTGCTTTTCTGCTTTCTTTAAGCCATTGTTTAATGTACTGTTATTTATGGTTTCACTAGAACTGTTGATGGTTTCTTTAATTGCCATGATTTCTCAAAATCGTTTCTTTAAGTTTGTGTTCATTTTTCTTTTCTAGAAAGTGAATTTTCATAATTTTGTAGAATTGGATACCTATTATGTAGTATTCTTGATGGGTTTGCTTATTCTTGTCTAGAAAAGAAGTTTATTGCTTTATATATGTGGGTTCGGCTTGTTATATAAAATTAATGAGTTTTTGCAGGAGGGTTTTGCAAAATTATTGCAAAGATAATGATCTAATGACAAGATCGTTCTTAAGTTATGTAGAACTAAAGAAACAAGCCCAAAAGGACCTTCAAGTTGAACTCGACATTGAATCAGGCCAACCAAACCTCTCTCAGTTCTTCCATGAACTCAACGGAATCAAGACCGAAATGGAAGATATTACCAATCTCTTGTTTGATCCTCGAAACTTTATGAAGAGTCAAAGTCCATTCACAGTGCCAAAGTTCTTCGTGGCTTAAGAGACCGAATGGAATCAGACATAGTAGCAGTTCTTAGAAAGGCCAAGATTGTGAAGGCAAGACTGGAATCACTTGACAGATCCAATATATCCAATCGCAGAGTATCAGAATTGTATAAAGAAGGGAGTCCTATTGATAGGACAGGGATATCAGTCACCAATGGCTCGAGAGTTAAGCTGAGGGAAATTATGAATGAATTTCAGATCCTGAGACAGAAGATTTTATCAGATTACAGAAACGATCAGAAAAGAAGATACTAAACTGCGACTGGAGAAGAAGCAAGTGAAGAAGAGATCGGAAATATGATTTCAGGAGGTGGGGGAGTTCAGGTGTTTGAAGGGAAAGGAGTGATGGACTTGAAGAATAAAGAGAGGCATGAGGTTGTGATGGACATACAGAGAAGCTTGAAAAGGCTGCATCAGATGTTTCTTGATATGGCTGTTCTTATTGAAACACAAGGAGAGAAGATGGATGATATTGAAGAGAATGTGACCAATGCAGGTAATTTTTTAAGTGGTGGAACAAACAGTCTTTACTATGCCAATCAGATGAAGAAGAAGAGGAAGACATGGTTTTTATGGGTTTTTGCTGTGATGTTGATCATAATTTTTGTTTGCATTATATCAGAGACAGCAGGGAAGGAAATTATTTGATGTCGAGTGATTAGTTGTTTCTGTTTCTTCGTGCTTGCCTGAAAATTATGTGATGTTGATCAATAATTTTACCCCTATTTTACTATATTAAATTATCAATATTTTTACTCTCAATCACAATATGAACCCTCAAATCTTAATCTAATCCAATCATCTTAGATTACATTTCATTCAAAATCAATCGTATTTTTCAAATTCATAGTATACTCGTTCATACATTTAAACAATCATACACATAAATATTTAAAGAATTTTAAATATAACAACTATCAACTTATAATTATTTAAAAAAAATATATAATCTACAATATCTATTTTACTAATAATACTTTTAATTTTTACAATACCCCAAATAAAGTAATATAATTTTACATATTTTAACTACCAATCTATTTATATTTTCATTTAGTAGAAATCTACCATTTAATAATATTGTATAGTTTCATCATTACAACTAGGATGATTATAATTTACACTTTATTAATCCTGTCTAACTTGTGATGGATGTAATTAAATATATAAAGTATAAAGATTTAATTATCACTAATTATCACTAATTTAGTTATTTTTTAATAGATGCTAATAAATCTAACAATTCTTTTAATTATCAACCATTTAATTATTTCCATATAGATGCTAATAAATCTAATAATCCTTTTGAATGTCAACAATTTAGCAATCTCGTCGTCATGGATGCTAATAAATTTAATAAACTTTTTCAATTATCAATAATCTATTCATTATCATTTACTTTGCTCCTTCTTTCACAATAATGATAACATATTCAATAACCAAAATATTAAAATTACTATTAAAATAACTTTAAAAATTTAGATATAGTAAATAACTGTCTACTACTTGAGAGGGTTTTGCTCCACCTGCTTGAGATCATGCTCCCATCACCACCTCTAAATGAATAGGTTTTCACTATATTAATTCATGTCTATAAAGTTTAAAGTAATTAAATTCTAATCACATATAACTTTTTTATTCTTACCAAACATACCAAAAATCCTATTTAAATTCATCTTATCATCATCAATATTTTTATATGCATTAATTACATACAACTACACATTTATTCATGAAATTTCATAATTTCTTATTTCTCTTTCCTTGGTTGACCTACACTTCTCTATTAACAACACTAGATTTTTTTTCTTCTTCTTATTTTCACCTTATTTAGGTTATTTTTTTTCTTCTTTTTTTTATGCCTTTCTCTACTACAAATTTATCTCTTAGTACATATTGTATATAATTTTTCCATCATAAAATTATATCAAACTTTCTTATTTATCACTGATCATAATCGATCCTTCATCTCTGCAAATCACCACGATCACTTCTTTAGTATCTTTTTAATTTAACATCCTCCACACATTTTCACATGTAAACACTATATCAAATTATCCATAATATTTTCTTTTACCATGGTTGGCCGTTACCCTTACCACAACACTATGATTTCTTTCAAATTTCTTTATAAGTTCACAAGTTTGTCAACTAAATACAATCTAATCATCATAATTATAACAAATCTTTTAAAAACCCCAATTCATCAACAAATACCCTTACTAGAACATAAATATTTTCAACTAAAATTTATTTAAATGTTAGGTAAACTTGTTAAAATTGATATAGAATGCCATACTAGACAATTATTCAAGCTTTAAATGCTTTCTAGATAAATTTTAAGGATTTTCCCTTTCTTTTTCCTTCCCTGATCGAATTTTCTCCCTTGATTTTCACCCCTTTTCATTGTTTCTTCCTTATTTTGCTGTTTAGGCGGCTTGATCTTTACAAACTCTTAATTTCTACTCTCAAATCTACACTTGCTTGATGTTTTTTTCCCTAAGTTTTTCTCTTCATTTCTTGAGAACTTTCAAGCAAAATCACTCTTTTTTCCTCTTTTGATGGTTGGCCATCACAAAAAAAAAAAAAATACAATGCAAGATTAACAAAAAAAAAGGATAACATAAGTTATAAGAATAATAACATGCCTTTTACATTAATACAAGTCCTTTACTAGTGAAACATTATAATTTATACCCTTCACTTTACAAGAAAATAGTTAAATTAGTTACAATTCATAATAAAAATACCAAATTATATATAATCCCCCACCTAGTAACTAAAAACAAGGAGTCACTAGCAATATTTACTCCTAACAAGCCTATAAAGGATCTAAAATAAATAATTAATTTCATGTTACATTAATCTTCATTATGAAGTAATCATGATTTTAACTCAATTTTTCAAAGAACTCATTTTATTTAGATCAATTTTTTTTTTTGTCATCATCAACCAAGCAAGTAAATTCTTACATTCAAGTTTCCCTAATATCTTTATATTTATCTTATTTGAATAAATTTAATAATATGAATATTGTACACAGAAACCTATTAAATTGACTAACCTTTTTAGTCGCTTATAAATCTATCCATTGTAATTGCCAATAATTTTGGCATTCTCTTTTGGAAGGCAATAAAGTTAGTAATCCTAATGGATACCAATCAATTTGATCATCCTATTTGGATGCCATTTGATTTGGTGTTTTTATTCAGAAGTTAATAAATTTAGTAATCTCAACTGAATATCAATCTATCTAGTCATTCTATTTTGATGCTATTCAATCCGTATTTTTATTTGAAAGCTAATAAATCTGATAATCTTAACTTGATACTAATCAATTCAGTCATCCTATTTTAATGTCATTCA